TTCTGCTCCATTGTCCATCAATTCATTTCTGCCAGGAGCTCAAATTGTGCTCTATATGCTTCCCACGGTGCCTTCCCATTGAATTCCTGTGGCTTCCTTCGTACATGTCACCCCTATTGCTGACATTCATATCTGGGATGTGACTAACAGGACTGAAAATGTCTGCATTAAGGTTTAGCTGCGGGGTCTGGAAGGGGCTTGCCGTTCTCTGGGTCTGATTAAGTCGATGGTTAATGTATCCTACTTGTGTAAGAGACAATAAATAATCTTTTAATGTATTTAATTCACTTTGAAATTTACTAATGTTTTCCATTTGTGTACTCTGGCTTTCTCACAATTGTTGGAGACTTTCTTCTTGTTTATTTTCTTTCTCCTCCATCCACTTCTGTAATCTCTCTTGTTTATTTTGCTGTTCGAGTTGCCACTGTTGCAGGTTTTCTTGCCACTGCTGTAATTTCTCTTCTTGTTTCTTTTCTTTTTCCTCCAACAACTTTTGTAATCTCTCTTCTTGCTTCTTTTGTTTTTCCTCCAACAATTGTTGTAATCTCTGTTCTTGTTTCTTTTCTCGTTCTTCTTGTTTTTTTCTTTTTCCTCCAACAACTGTTGTAATCTCTCTTCTTGTTTATTTTGCTGTTCGAGCTGCCACTGTTGCAGGTTTTCTTGCAACTGCTGTTGTCTGTCTTCTTGTTTTTTTCTTGTTTATTTTCTCGTTCTTCTTGTTACTTTTGTTGTTCTTGTATTGCTGCCATCAAATCTGCCAAGCTATAGTTTGATTTACCACCTCTCGTTTCCATCTTCTTCTTTTTTATTTTCCACCCCACTTCTGACACCAATTTGTTACATCTCTGATCGTTGGTTAATTTTCCGTAGAAATTCTTTCCGAAAAACTTCAGTGATACAAGTCCTTTCTTAAATAAAACTAATTTATTCTTTCTCAATACAACTTTGCAATACACATAATTTCCACAGTCACTTTAACTTATACACACGCTATTATTCACAACGATTCACGCACTTTACTTACGGTCACTACTGCACTTGACTCAATTGTCTGTCTTTATCCAATAATCCAGTATATGCTAGACACCCTCTATTCCTGTATATACGCGTGAGATAAAGCGAGACAATTAATTGGAACCTGAATTGCATACAGGCAAACGTCACGTGACTTCCGCTATCTTAACTATATTATACAACAAAGGGAAACGTTATTAAATGTTTCTTAAAGAAAACATGTCAGAATGATATCAATTCAAATTTCAAAGCTGCAAATTCATACGAATATCACATATGAAAATAAAATATTTTATTTGCAGAAGCAACATAATCTATAGAAAGTTCATCTGAAGTTTCAAACTATTTTACATAGTAGTTTTTTGTATTGCAATAAAACAAACCATAAAACAGGTTCAGTACATCAACACACTAGGATATTTGAGTTAAAAATACACAAAGTATTCCCAAACTTCTTATCGCACACAAACTTCTTTAATGTACATTTTTTTATACATATACTTGTTTCTATTTTGTTTGAGGTTATTGAGCTTTACATTTGCAATAAATCCTATGGTTTTCCTTCACTTTGTGCTTTTTTGAAATACACACATTCATATTCCATAAAAATGGACAGGTCGCAACTGAAGTTACAATTTGCTTTTATTCTCACCAGACTAACTACATCAATGATAGTTATGATGTTATCCAATGGATTTTGAATGTTTAAAAACAAAGGAAATAATTCCTTTTTGTGGTCTGATGAAACTGCCAATGTTTCAGACAGGTAGAAGATCTACCACACAGTTCCATGATGTAATCTGTCGAAACTAACAGAGTAAGTTCTTACTAGTGGTATTACACAGTTCTTTCTGATAAGATTAAACAAATCTGATGGAATAGTTAATATAACCACAGAATGTGCTGAAGTACAGTCCGAAGTAGTAATTTGGTAAATCTGTAAAAACTGACAGAGTAAGTTCTTACTAGTTCTATCATTGAGTTCACTGTGATAAGAATAGACAAATCTGATGAAAAAGACCAACTCTTTCCTCACACCAACACACACATCTCTCCTGAACATTCATAGGCTTAAAATGGTATCCAAAAGCACCACCTGGCGAATTAAGTTTTATAGTATTTCCCTGTATTCATGCTATTGTGTTTCAAATCTGAAATTTTATAAAACGCTACTTACCCTGTGTTGTCCAGAAGGTCAAGAGATTCCATGCTGCTCCTACTAGCTGGACAGCTACTGGTATAACGATTGTTATGACTTTCAACAAACATTTCTAAAGGAAAGAAAAAATATATAATGTATTATTCTTAACTTTGTTTATTTAAGCAAACTTAAGCTTATTACAAGACGTTTTTATACACGTAAATAAAATAACGATCTATATCTTAAGAATGTAACTTTATTAGCTCAATATTTTACTGTTACAGCCTCATCAGGAACTATTAATTATTTATTTTAATAAATATTATTTATTTTGCATTGTTCATTTGATCTCTTTCACCAATTTAAGTTTCAGAATGCTTGATACTATTTTAATATAATCTGAACTTACTAAACACTTGTATCAATGTTCGATTTACTGTTAATGATGTTCCAATTTAGATTTAACTGGATTTGTGAATTGGTAGGAGATCAAAAGCTCCTAACCAAGTTGCAATTTGTGAAATATTGTGCTAATAAATTTACATTCTGGAGATATAGGTTGTTATTTTATATGCGTGTATAAAAATATATGATGTATGTTTCTCAAAAATGATGACAACATTGATTGGTAATTGTTACAAAAGATACCCGCCAGCTTTCTGTAGATGTCGATTACAAGCAAGGAAGTAAGAATTTTAAATCATAGCTTTCAGAGAGGTATGGATAACTTGTATTAAAGTCTTGTATACTGTTACGATAGCAGAAATCGCGTGACGCTGCTGTTGCATTTGCGCTGGTGGCGTGTGCGAGGAGTTTCTCGAATGATCGTGATTTTTTCTAGTTAGTTCGAGACACCCTCTTTTTTCTAGTATATTAGCCTGGCAAAGAAAGCTAGCGAGATTGGCAGATAGATTGAAAATAATTTTACGACAGCGGGGGTCACGTGACGCTACTAACACGTCATATTCTCGAACGTTCATGTCCCTTCCTGAAGTCTCGAGAGGCTACTAGATATGTGGTAGTCTTGTATATATAAGACCGGTAAGAATAGACGGCAACAATGTAATTGAACTCCGGACAGAGAGAGACCTATTGTTGAGTCGAGCATGTGAGTCGTTCGTTGTGAATTATAGCATTTGTTATAGCGCGATTGTGGAAATTAAGTGTATTGCAAGGTAGTATTTGGAGAAAATAAACCAGTTTTATTTAAGAAAGGACTTGTATCGCTAAAGTTCTTCGGAAATAATTTTTACGGAAAATTATCTAACGACCAGAGAGTAACAAATTGGTGTCAGAGAGTGGGATGGAAAAGAAAAAAAATTAAAATGAGAAGTGGCAAATCAAACTACAGCTTAGCAGATATGATGGAAGCAATACAAGAACAACAAAAGAAACAAGAAGAGAGATTACAGCAGTTGTTGGAGGAAAAAGAAAAGAAACAAAAAGAACGAGAAAAGAAACAAGAAGAGAGATTACAACAGCTATTGGAGAAGAAAGAAAATGAACAAAAAGAGAGACTACAGCAGTGGATGGAAGGGAAAGAAAAATAAACAGGAAGAAAGTCTCCAACAGTTACAGGAAAGTCAACAACAGTAGCAAGAAGTACAAGTGGAAAACATTAGTAAATTCAAAAGTGAATTAGATACATTAAAGGATGATTTATTGTATTTTACACAAGGAGGATATGTTAACCATCGACTTAATCAGCCCCTGACAACGGCAAGCCCCTTCCAGACCCCGCAGCTAAACCC